CCCGCCACTGGGTCCTTCCACTTAGATCCGTCTAGTTCTGCTATCATATATGCACCCCAGTCAAGTGCCTCAACCACTCTGTAAGGTCTCATCCATCTATTGGCAAGCTTTCTGGTCCAGGTCCTTTCCAGCGCTGCATCGTAGAGAAGGACCATATCTCCTACGCTCACCCTCTCTTTCCTGATTCGCACGTTCTTATCCCATCTCTCTTTACCCTTGTCCCTTTCCACTGTCAGACGATCCGCCGCTGTCATAAGGTTGTCTTCCAAACCGTAGGCTATCTGTCTTGTTCGCGCAGCTATGAGTTCTTCTCTAGACATCTCYTCCGCCCAGTCGACGGTTGTCCAACTGTCGACGTGAAACTCTATGGGAAGCGGACAATGCCGCCCAAACCACAAGGTGTATGGAGGGTATCCCGTGCTAGCCCGGACCATGACGTTGTCCGCCCATATTGCGTATCGAAAATATCGTGGTCAATCACTGTCCCTACCCTTGCACCACTTGGACAGTGACGCTATCAGAGTCTGGTGTCCCCTCTCTACTGGAGAGTTCGATTGTGGGTGATAGGCGGTAGCTATCGAAACTCTCGTACCGGCTCTCCTAAACACGCTCTGGACCTCGTCAGCTAGGAATTCCGCCCCTCTGTCCATCACTATCTTGCCGACACAACCATACCTAGATAAGTACTCTAGGACAAAGTTCTTTACTTCCTTTGCCGCCTTACTCCTGATAGGTCTACCGTCCACGAACCCAGTGAAATCGTCTCGTATGTTCACGACGTAGTTCATATTCCCTACCCCTCTCGGCATCTTCACTAAATCGATGTGTACCTTCTCTCCTGGTCGGGTTGGATAGGATGGATGAAGTGGCTCTTTGTATTTCACAAGAGCTCTCTTCTGACACTCTTCGCATGTCATGCAGTACCTCTCGACGTCCTTATACTGTCCTTCCCACCAGTATAGCCGGCGTATCTTTTCGTAGGTTCCTTTGACCCCCCTGTGTCCTCCGACTACCCCATCGTGAGGTTCCGCAACTATCGTCTGCCTCTCCTCAGGATCACAGACTACTCGTAAGGGCATTCCTGACCCTACTGGCCTTCGGAAAAGGTGGCCCGCTCTAAGGCAGTACTGGGCTGCTTGCCTCCGGATTTCTGAATCTTGACTCTCCTCTTCCGTCAGGTGTAGTCCGATCATTCGRTACTTGCCCTCGTAAAGATTAACCAGAAATCTCTCGGTGCGCCTCGGCTTTGCCATTGTCAGAGCCCCAGCTACTATCGAACGCTCGAGAGGGATGCGTGAAAGTCCATCTGCCACGACATTTTTCGTACCAGATACTCTTTCGACCGTTTCATCGTATAGCCGAATCCGTATTAACCATCGGGCGATGGTCGGGTCCGTCAGACTAAAGTCCTTCTGGAGGACAGAGGCAGCTGCGGTGGGGTCTACTCTCAAGATGAACCGTCGCCCATAGATATAGTGTCTGAACGTGTCTAGACACCGGAGAACAGCTAACACCTCCTTCTTGAATTGACTGTAGTTACGCTCAGCCATATTAAGTGTCTTACTCTCAAATCTTAACGGTCTTTCCTTCCCTCCAGCGTCCTTCTGAGACAGCAAACCACCCACTGAACATGGTCCAGCATCCGTGGATACTATGAAGGGTCTCTCGGTCTCATCGTCAAAGAATGGCACACCCAGCACGCGCCCTCCTTCCTTAAATTCGTCTTTAAGTTCTTGCATTGCGAGTTCCTGCGAAGAATCCCAGTATAATTTTTCAGTCTTTCGAAGGAGTAACCTCAATGGCTCAGTCTTCGCCGCATACCCCCGTATGAATATGCGCCAGTAACCGACCACTCCCAGAAACTGCCGGACCTCGGTTGCGCTATGTAACGGTGGCGGCCAGTTCAGGAGTTTGTCTAACTTCGCCGGGTCTGCTCGGCGTCCTCTCGAGTCACATATAAAGCCCAAGATCTTAATAGTCGAGACGACCCATCGGCTCTTGGTTCCGCTGACTGTCAAATTCGCATCGTCCAGCTGCTCGAGTACCGCGCAAATGTCTGTCAGGTGCTGCTCGACGAATCTTCTAACCCCAGGTATAACCTCTGTCTCATCCTTCTCTACTGGCCCTTTTATAGGAAAGTCATCCAGAAAAACTTCAACCTT